AAGAAAGAAAGAAAGAAAGAAAGAAAGAAAGAAAGAAAGAAAGAAAGAAAGAAAGGAAGAAAGAAAGAAAGAAAGGAAGAAAGAAAGAAAGAAAGAAAGAAAGAAAGAAAGAAAGAAAGAAAGAAAGAAAGAAAGAAAGAAAGAAAGAAAGAAAGAAAGAAAAAGAAAGAAAGAAAGAAAGGAAGGAAGAAAGGAAGAAAGAAAGAAAGAAAGAGGAAGGTTGGATCTGGTTGAACTCTCATTTTACAGATAGAGAAACTGAGGCTTAGCATAGGAAAGTGATCTGACCAGTTCACACAGCTTGTAAGCCACAGGGGATTCCAGCCCAGCTTGTCATACTCCAAATCCAGAGCGCTTTCTCCCTTATCACACTGGAAGGAGGGTCCTCCCCTGGGGTCCCAGTTGAACACTGGCTAAAGAAGGTAGTATGAGACAGCTGAAAGGAAGTCTGTCTTTGTATTTCACAGCTTTGGCCTGTTTTCATTGACTCACTATAGGTTGTGTGACTGCAGGAGGTGTAGGCTGAGGGAGAGGATGAGTGGATTAGGTGTGAGAGGGAGGGGAAAGACTCAGGAATACCACCACCTCCCTTCAAGAAAAGAATGGAATAGGTTCCAGGCTGCTAAGGGTCTCCCCATCTCCTTTAAAAAAGGAAAGAAAGAAAGAAAGAAAGAAAGAAAGAAAGAAAGAAAGAAAGAAAGAAAGAAAGAAAGAAAGAAAGAAAGAAAGAAAGAAAGAAAGAAAGAAAGAGAAAGAAAGAGAAGGAAGGAAGGAAGGAAAGGAAGGAAGGAAAGAAGGAAGGATGAACAGAGAGCTATGACAGCTCCAGGAAAATCTAGAAAAAGGACTGTGAGCTATGGTAAAGCTATATGGCTAGGGTAAAGGGTGAGGAGAACTCTGGAGGAGGAAAGACCGCCCCCTCCTCCTGCTGAACCCTCCACTCAGCCCCTTCCTGGAAAGCGGGAAGCATAGACCCATGTTTTTATCTATCCTCCCAACAAGCCAACAAAATGCGCTTGATGAGTTTTTTTTCTCCATTACACAAATGAAGAAACTGAGCCTCAGAGAGATGAAGCACCCACCACCACAAAACGCCCCCAGGTTTTCTTCCATATAATCCAGTCATTCTCACTGTTTGTGTCCTGGAGTGCCTTTATGGCTCTCCACTGGGGTGTGCAGCACACTCCCTTGCTACAACTAGGGTAAGAAGACCTGAGACCAATTTTTCTTCTCTTGAGATTATCTGTACATACCTCTTTGCATGTTGTCTCCTCCATTAGATCATGAATTCCTTGAGAGTAGAGATTTTTTTTTCCTTTCTTTATATCCCCAGTGCCTGGCACACAGTAGGAGCTTAATAAACATTTATTAGCTGACTGCATTCATGTTGGGACTGTCACTTATCGCTGTGAGACCTTAAGCAATAATAATAAATGATAATAATATTAACATTTATGTAGTGCTAACTGTGTGCCAGCATATTCTCCTTTTTGGGACTCACTTCTTTCATTTTTGGAGTAGATTATAGGATCACATAGATTTAATAAGCACCTTAGAGATCATCTAAGTCCAACCTCCTCATTTTACAGCGAGGACGCTAAAGCACAGCAGGGAGATGTGCCTTGTCCAAAGTCATACAGGTTGGGGGGGGGGGAAGGATAGAGGGGAGGACAGATTGGGAGAGGGGGTAATCAGAAGCAAACACTTCTGAGAAGGGACAGGGTCAAAGGAGAGAAGAGAACAAATGGGGGTGGGATAGGATGAAGGGAAATACACTTCATTTTTCACAACATGACTAATATGGAAGTGTTTTGCATAACTGCGCATGTATAACCTGTATCGAGTTGCTTGCCATCTCAGTGAGGGTGGGTGGGGAGGGAGAAACGTAGAGATTTTGGAACCCAAAGTTTTAAAAACAAATGCTAAAAATTGTTTTTCCATGCAACTGGGAAATAGGATATACAGGCAGTGGGGTGTAGAAATCTATCCTGCTCTACAGGAAAATAGAAGGGGAAGGGGATAAGAGAAGGGTGGGTGATAGAAGGGAGGGCAGATTAGGGGAAGGAGCATTCAGAATGCACATTGTCTTGCAGTGGGGGGAAGGGAGAGATGGGGAGAAAATTTGGAACTCAAAATCTTATGGAAGTGAATGTTGAAAACTAAAAATAAATAAATTAACAAAGTCACACAGGTAATAAGAGTCACAACTGAGATTTGAACCCTGGTCCTTGAACTCCAAAAACAGCATTTTTCTGGCACTTGTGTTGCTGCTCAGTCGTTTTCAGTTGTGTCTGACTCTTTGTAACCCCATTTTGTAAACCCCACTGGAGTGGTTTAGCCATCTCCTTCTCCAGCTCATTTTACAGATGAGAAAACTGAGGCAAACAGGAGTAAGTGACCTGCCCAGGGTCACACAGCTAGGAAGTGTCTGAGGCCAGATTCAAACTCAGGAAGATGAATGAATTGTTCTGACTCCAAGCCTGGTACTCTATCCACTGCATCACCTGGTCACTACATTACTTCTAAGATGATTTGTAAAATCCTTTCCATAGCTGCTGTTCTATGACTTAGACTATGATGTAATGACAATGATTCTACAAGCCACCCAGAATATTATCTTATTGCTTTAGGGTCACATCATGAACCTTAATTATGCCTTGCCCTAGGTTGCTTCTTCCCTTTGTCTCTGTCCCTTCTCATCTTGTGGTCCTTCCTTGATAGACCACCTATCTGCCCCAGAGTCCCCTTTCTGTAGGGTCTCTTTCCCCACAGTCAAAATATCCAGAAGAATGAAGACCACCGCTCTGCTGGCACAACTGTATCCCTGGGCACATTGTCTTCTGCAAACCTCCTCCCCATCCCCGAACATAAATGAATTTGCCTCAAGAGCAGCTAGGGCT